CAAGTATCGCTGCTTCACATACATGCCTTCACTCGTGTGTCCAAAGGTATAAGACCCAGCCCACCCTGATGCACGCCCATCATCACCACCTCCTTCCGTACCCATGGTTCCCATAACCCCACAATACCTCAAAACCACCCTCTCCAGTTCCTTTGAATATCACACAACCTCAGGGGATATATTTCTGCCACGCCCCACACTTTACTGTACCCAAGTGTATTTACTACCACCATCCTCTGTTTGCAATGTTACATCCCCAGCCCTCCACCCGCGCATCCTACCCATCGCTCTACTCACTACTTCCTTGGAATTTATTCTCTGTGCCTCCCCAGCGTCTCCCATATACACAACCCCACATATCTTAATTCTTTTCCACTCGTTCCACCCTTTACTGTTCCCCAAACCCCCCCCCCACCCACGTGCCTACTTCTAATAACTTTGACTTTGCTCCATTAACCCTCACCCCTGTCGCCCACCAAAAATCTCTATTATACGTCCCCACATTCCCCAATCCTATTCCCTTCCTACCAAATGTGGGTTCATCCACATACCCCACAATAACCACATCTCCCAGGACCCACCTCTCCCTGTTCCCACACTCCTCCTCTATAAGCCTATAAAAAAGGGTCCTGCATGCATGCAAGAGGATTTGAGACAAGGGAAACCCCTGTCGCAAACCCATCCCCTTTCTGCACCGGCAACCCTAACTTCCCATTAACCTGTCCCCTGACCGTTGCAGGCGTATACAAAGTAGTCGCCCAGCGCACAATCTCATCACCAAAACCCTGTTTTTTTTTTTTTTTAAATACACCACAAATATGTCTACACTGTCATAAGCTTGCTTCCAATCAATCCCCAAGATCCCCCCCCCCATTGTCTACCCTCCACAAAATCCTTAATTCTTCCATGCCCCTCATGGCATACTTCGACCTGGAAAACCCACACTGTCCTCTGTAGGACTCGGTCAAGCACCTTTTTCGTACGGTTACCTAAAACCTTGCAAAACTTTATAATCTGCACCATGAGGGAGATCGCCTAAAAGCACCCAAGGTCTTCCCCCCCCTCCCTTATAGACCAAAACTACTACCCCCGTTGCCCTGCGATTCCCCCAACACTCCCCTTTCCTTCTACAGTTAAACAATCGGACCAGACATTCCTTCATACAATCCCAATGTGTAATATAGAAATCATTAGGAATTCCATCAATTTCCCGGTGCTTTTCCCCCTACTCAAGCCCCCTTATCGCCTCCTTCCACCTCCTCCTCATGATCCTACCCTCTATTACCGCACTCTCCCCCTCCCCTAAAATACCTCGAATTTCCTTCTCCCCGAAAACTCTCCCTCCCTCTCTCCTCCCTCCCCCTGCTTAAAATTCTCCTAAACCAAAAATCGGCATAATTGCTCATTCCATCGGTGGTACTAAGTACCCGCCCCACCCTATATCCCCCACCCCTTTACACACCTCTAAACCCATAATCGTGGTCATCTGTTGCCCATTCCTAAATTTCCTCAAAACACATCCGACGGTTTCACCCCCTAGAACCTCCTCTATACCCTTTCCCCCACACGTATCGCATCAAAACGAGAATTTTGTATATCCCTCAATCTTCCCCTTAAAAAACCCCTTTCTCCATGTCTAGCCCCCCTTCCCCTTCATAACAATCATTTAGCTGCCCCTCTAAAATTTCTGTAAAAACCCTACCTCCACCTCGCTTCATCCCTTCCTCTATGCTGGGTAATACTCCCTAATCTGCAATTTAGCGTTGCTTCTCCCACCATTCCAAGACATCCTCCTCTTCGTTGCGAGCCTCCCATAGTTGCTTCCACCATTCCCTAAAAAACAAACCCCCCCCCCTCTCCCTGAAGTAGCCTCATTCATTTTCCAATAACCCACATACTAAGAACCATCCCTTCCCTTTCCATCTCTGCCAAAACGGCACAATGGTCCGAAAAACCTAAATCTATCATCATTACACGTTCTACTGTTATATTTTCGAGTTATATATATACGATCCAACCTGGGGAGCATAACCCCTCCGCATAAACGTGTGCTCTACTTTCCACCCATCGCCCCTGATAGTCATAAACCCCTGCATCCCTCAACAAATCCCTCAATCTCCAAGCACACACCCTGCCCCTCTCGGCCTCCACATCCTTATTCCTGATTACACAATTCCAATCCCCCCCCTATTATAAGGAAACCATTGGTAAACCCCGCATGTTTGAAAAGCAAAACCTCCCTTAAAAAAAATTAACCTTTACCCATTATGTTACTATCTGCCGGCATATATATCCCAGAAAAACATACTCTAATCTCACCCCATATCCCTTCCCACCCTCCCCTCCCCCTCCCTCTTCCCACTTGAGCACGTGGAATGGGTGGACTCCTCACTGCCACTGCCCCCCCACCTTTAATTTCCCCGAACTACCAACATGCATCCTAAAACCGTTCAGCCTCAACTTTTCTGCATACTTGAAATTGTGTTCTTGAATAAAAAAACAATTTAATGTTTAAAAGCCACAAAACATCCTCCAACCATACTCGTTTACCGTCAGCTCTAAGGCCATTCACGTTTATCGTTAGACACTTAAAGATTCAGAAAGGGTTGGCTTTCCTCTGTCTGTGTCCTGGTCTGTTATTTTTGCTGCTTCTGTCTTTTCCCATGCACTCTTTCCCGCCTGTACCCCCCCCTCCCTGTGCACTACCCTGCCCCTTCTTAATCACTCCTGCCCACGTCTTTTTTCCCTGTACGCTGAGCTGGGGGTTATAACCTCCTCATCCGACGAGCCTCCAGCCCTCTTTCTAGATGTGCCTCAATTTCCATATCAGTTTTTCCATTGCCCTTGTGCACCTCGCTTCCCCCTGTAGCAACTGCAACATGCCAGGCTCTGACCCAGAGGCTTGGAATCTGCTCAATCAAATCCTTTCAACCATCAGAATTCTCCTGTCTGTAGCTGGGTTCTCCTCCGCAGGCACGTCCAGGAAAGACTTAATCATCTCCTGTAGGGGCGTAGATAACTCCTGTGGGATCACGGTCTCTCCCACCCCCACAGGCTGCTGCTCAACTCCCGGGGCCCGTTTGCGGGGGGAGAATCCGAAGCCTGGTAGTGTCGCACAATTCTCTAAAACGCCCTCCACTTCGTCCGCCCAATTACCTTTGCTGCTGCACTCAAGTCTTCGGCAGACGTTCCCCCTGAGACTCTGGGGACTACTTGCCATTTCCCCAAAGGCCGCGGCGCTGCTGCTTTACCACATCCGGCCGCATGTGGTTTAAAAGCGTCGCACAGGCGACACGTCTTTCGTTGCCCGCATAGGTCATGTACAGCTGTGTCCTAAATCCTCCAGGACAACATACGAGGAATAGGTCTTCTTAAAGACATCTTTACGGTGTAAGATCCGCCGGCAACCCCTTTATAGATTCCCCGTCCATCGAACTAAGTTATAGCAATGCACCTCGCCATATCTTTGAAATGTCTTTCTGATATCTACATCGTTCTGCCTCGAAAGGAACGTTGCGGATCCTCACCCAGGTGTAGTATTTTGAGGCATCCCGCAGGCGTACCTCCAGACCAGATTTATACAGTGATGTTCTTCTCCTGGTACTGAGTCGCCGTCCTTTCATATGCCTCCACTGTGCAGAACTTTATGAAGATTCGTGATGATCCATTAAGTGCTATTCCGTTTTATTTCTTCAACTTCAATGCCAAACGTGTCCCGTATAATCGTTGGTAATAAAACAGAGGCATTCGTTGGGTTTAAATTGCCCCTTTAACAAGGTCAACACACATGGTGTTGCTCCCTGCGGTAGCTGGCAGCCATCTTGGTGAAAATAGGAAGTTGCGCACCCGAGAAAGCAGGAGCTGTTTGCGCAGTGCGTCCACTCAGCCTGAAAGCGAAGAGGACAATGCAGGGAGGAAAAAAAAAATATTAAATTAAAACCCATGTCTTCAATAAAATTAGTAAAGTAGAACCTATATCGATTATAATCAAACCCCCAAATAATTTCTGAAAAAAAAATCAGCATTTGGGTTTGAATCTCGTTAGAAAATTATCTTGCTATTGCTTATTTAATGTCAAAAATCCCTGCAAACTTTAGTCCTCGGTACCGAAAGTGGAGCCAAAAGAAGTGTATTTTCTAGTTTAATTGAAATCAACACTTCATATTTTATTACCTGTTAATAAAATGGCAAATTCAGTTCTACACAGCCTCATCTGAATATTGCAATCCATATAGTCAGTCCATAAACCTGATTATCCATGGAGTATTATAGTTCACAAGAGACACTCGTAGATAAAAAAAAAAAAAAAAATTGCACCTACAAAGTTCCGTTAGTCCTCAGTAGGATACCATAGTTATAAAAGTTTGAAACTAATCATTACTGCACAAACAAAATTCAGAAATTGGTGTATAAACTGACCAGAAGGCTGCTACATACACAAGCACTTTCATGCATCTTTACATAGTTTCCGTAAAGCCAATAATGAATATTGAAGCCGCTCGGTTCCGGCATTATCAAGATAACTAAAATATAAGAGGGAGTAAAATAATGCCCTCAAAGGTACCCCTTCTGGGGTACCTATTAATTTTTAACACGAATAGTCTGAGATGACGTGCCACTCTGTCGACTGAGGATAAGAACCACACCTAACTCAGCCACTTGTGTGCAGTTGCGCTCTGTTGCTTGAGGCACACAGCTGACTGTAGCACGAATTAAAAATAATTTCCCAAGGTTTCTGCCTTTTATCATGCCGTAGCTTATTAGTTGCCTGTGCAGCTGTAGAACTTTTTGTAACGTTCAAAGGTTATTAAAAAAATTTTTACTGGTACTAGCAATTTTAGAATACTTGGTTAGTTTCTAGTTTATATGTAGTTTTATTTGATCTGTTATAGTTTTAACTTTATTACCAAGATCGCGGTGATCTACTAGGTAGAAGATTTGTGGGGGGGAGGGGGGAGCACTTTCAGGTTAAACTAATTAAGACTTGGCCCTTTCTACAGGTATTCGTGTCTGCACTACTGTCAGTCACACCAATATGGAAATGCTCTGAGGTATTGTTGCCGAGCAGCTGAAGTAACTCTTGCTTCAGAACACCTCGAGGGTCTCTCACTCCCTCTTCCCCAGTCTCTCCCCACTGCTCCATCCCCAACTAGAACCATTTCAACTATCCATGGCACTAGACCCAGCGCCGCAGGAAGAAACTTTGACACCCACACACATGCTGCTAACCCGCTTTTTAATCTGCTAGCACTCTCTCTTGGCCCATCTATCCCTACCACAGTAATTACATCAACTGCTACTGCTACCACAGTCATAGGTTTAAATTTTTTTCCAGTTGAGTAAATTTACAAGACGTATATTTAAGCATAGAATGTCCACATCCTGATGCAGTCTAACGTTCTTAATATCTTCAGATTTGGTATCTCAGGATCGTGGTCTGTGTCCACCGCTACGAGATTATTGCCCCCGGGGACAGGATGCTGCACCGCATCTTGCAGTAAGTGCTAAATTCAAATTCAAAGTTTATTCTCTATAAGGATTACAATGCTGAGTTTACAGAAATTTGGTTATTGTTTGGTTTACATGTAGTAAAATTGAGATTACAGAGTGTACCACTAGAACGCTTAGCATGGCTAGGCATATCGGGCATACTTAGTTTTATTCTTAAATGTAAAATATTACAAATTATGAGGTAAGTTGGTATTATGGCTAAGTGACTAAATAATTTGGAGTTTGCAATTGAATGCTTTTGTTTTGGGACAGTATATTTGTTTTTCCAGGAT